GTGGATTCAAAACCTATTCCAAAGATTTTGAAACATAACTACTATTCACAATGGAGATCCAGTGCCCTGCTTTCTAACGTATTTTACCCAATTTTTTTTTATTCCAGGATGGAGCACCTAAGCAAGGCCAATACATGTGACACCACCTCAGGCACCATGTCACCTCTCTGTGTCACAAGTACAAGTGCCAGTCTGGAGGGATCTTGTGTCACTTCAACTGTTCCTGACCATGCCTTGTGCAGTGAGGTGAACTGGCTGTTATTTCTCTTGTTTTATGAACAGTAAAGGGTGAAGAAGGTGCTAGACAGATGGTGGTAGAGACTGTTGTTAATGTTTTCTTTGGTGGAGGTGATATATGGTATAAGAAATTTGATTGAAGGTCTTACATGCATTTTATTGCCCCAAGACTCATGTGGCAATATAGTATTAGGGGAATTGGATATTATTTTGGGGTCGGAAGCACATGTGTAAGGAAGAGGTATTTACAACCGTTTGACTGAAGCAAAATAGCTGTTAGAGACCAGAACAGTAATAAAAACTGAATAATCTTCCCTTCTGATCTTACATTACATCAGCTCCATTTTCTTTTACTAAAAAAGAAAACAGATTGCCAGGTTAAGCTATTATTTTTTTCATATAATTCCATTAATGCATTGCAGAGAAGGCATTGGTAAAGTTAGTTTTATTTCCCTTACTATCTGTTTCCTCTCTTTCTTTCTTTTTTTTTTTCTTTTTTTTTTTTTTCTTTCTTTCTTTCTTTCTTATGATATCAAGGCCTAAAGTAATTGTTTAAGTCCCAAATCTGAATTAAGATTTTGTATATACTTCACAAGTGTTTGTATTTCATATCAGTATTGCTTAAAATTGGTGCATAGATTCGTTATGATCATTATTTTTTTCATATAAGAAACTTTGTACACTTAGATCTTGTATTATAGCAGTAACTTTGAATTTGATTTTTCAGTACATCTTCTAATAACTCTCAGTATATATTGTAATTGCAATTAATATCTTTAATTCATGACTCAGATAAGGAAAAAATACAGTTACAAGGATATTTCCAAGCTTGTGAAGTCATGTAAACTACATTTATAACCTTAGATTAGCCAAGTTACAAACAAGCATCTTCTCATTTCAGGATGAAAGCGAAGAGCAGTTGCGTGAAGACCCAGAATTTCTGCACTTACTTTCCCCTACTATTCCTCGCAAGCTTCCTACTCATAGTAAGTAGTCTGTAGTATTCATAACTGCCTCCTCTCTCCTTGATATATTTTTTCCAATATTTTCCATACAGATTTATAGTTCTGTAATAATACAGTGGTAGAAATTGTTTATTTTTTCCACTTTATTTTGTTATGGAAGAGAGTATTTCTTTGTTATGGTAGATGTTTAGAAAACACCTGCACATCTAGCAGAGGCTTTAAGCTTGTCAGCATTCAGGTTGAGACCAGCAAACATACATACCTTTATATATTCTGGAAGGAGAGAAGGAAAGTAGTTTACAGGGAGAGAGAGAAGGCTTCCTTGGCAAATTATTGTCAGATAAGGAACCAGTCTAAGCTCTGTTACTTGACAATATGACAGTTTTGTGTTTGACCCCCCCCAGTTCTAGATAAATTACATGCCAATGTAATGATGGGGAAAAGTCCCCTTCTAAGAGCCACTAAACTTACTATAATTATAACTTTCAGTTTTATGATAATTTAATAAGAAAATATACAAAACTGAAAGAGAAGTAATGCATATTATAAGATCTGAATATATTGAATAAGCATTTCTTTACTTATTTTTTGTCTGATAATATTTATATTTGTTTCAGAGTTTTCTCTCACCCCAAAGCCTAAAGATGTGCTAATAAAGGAATATGAAGCAGAAGGTTTGTATCAGTTTTTTTTTTAGGTGAACTGAAAAGACCTTTTGTAACTGGCAATTATATTAACTAATACAGTCTCATCAAGTATTATAAGTCTTAGTTACCAAATTTACCATCAGGGCTCTCAGTTCACTAATGAGGTGGTTTAATGACCTACTCGTCTGTGACTAGTTTGGGAAGTAAGCATATATCTATTATAACCAAAGTCCAGTATTTAAGGATTGACAAACCTTATTTAACTGGTCATTAAAACTATAATTAGAGGTCAGTTTTTCATTCACAAGTCTTTGGAGAAATATCTTCGTATAATTAGTTTCAGATTCAGAGTAGAAAATATAAGCATATAAAGTTTATAGGTCTCATTAGACAAATATATGAAGTTTCTTGTGGAGTCATCATAATAATCAAGAAAGCCTTTTCAGTGGAGGATGAAATAAAGATAGATTTAACGACACCACACACGTCAGTCAACGTTGCTCTTGATTGTCCTGGGTAAGTTTTAAATTTTTGTGGCTATTATTGATAATGTTACTGATGTAGATTTTTACTTCTAATTCTATTCCTACAACTGTTATTATTTCTCCTTCTGTTTCTATTTCTACTTCTACTTCTATGACTTGTGCTAAGAAATAGTAAAACTATGAATATTAGAAGTCATTATTATCTATTAGTTTATAATGTAACTTCTTGTTTGGACTGTTCTTATCTTGGTTGCTTGCCTGAGTTAACCTTCAATGTATATGTTTTTGTCCATGACTTGCTCACTTTGAGGTATCAGACTAAGTCTCTGTGCATTAATCTTATCAGATGTCATCCCTGTAGGAGAGAACAGGATAAGATATGTATGTATGTCATAACTAGAATTTGTAGTGACTTTTTTTGTAAGAGTGTGATAGAGATGGGTATTGATATGCAAGCTAATTCAGTACATGTGTAATTTTAGCATATGCAGAGTTATCAGTAGACCTTCATGGTTTTGTTCATTTACATTACCATATTCAACATTATATCAAAATCAAATTTTGTTTCATTTTATTACTGATGGTTTATATAGCACAGTATTCCTATGGAATACTGTGCTACTATGGAATACTGTGCTATCTAAACTATGTTCTATGAGAGAGAGAGAGAGAGAGAGAGAGAACGAGCAGGGGAGGGAGGGATAGGAGAGAAGGAGAGAGAAAGAAATATAGAGGGAAAAGGAGAGAGAGAGAGAGAGAGATAGAGGGAAAAGGGGAGTGAAAGATAGAGGGAAAATGAAAGAGGGCGAGGAAGAGAGAGTAAGGTAGAAGTAAAAGGAGAGAGAGAAAAGGAGTGAGAGAGAAAAGGCAAAAATGAAGAGAGAGAAAGAGAAAAGGAGAGAGGGAAAGAAAGAAAGAGAGAAATGGAGAGAGAGAAAGAGGAGAGAAATAGAGAGAGAAAGAGGAGAGAAATAGAGAGAGAAAGAGGAGAGAAATAGAGAGAGAAAGAGGAGAGAAATAGAGAGAGAAAGAGGAGAGAAATAGAGAGAGAAAGAGGAGAGAAATAGAGAGAGAAATAGAGAGAGAAAGAGGAGAGAAATAGAGAGAGTTATGGAGAGGAGAGAAATAGAGAGAGTTATGGAGAGGAGAGAAGGAGAGAGAGAAAGAGAGAAGGGGGAAGAAGAAAGGGAGAGAAAGAGAGAGGGGGTGGGAGAGAGGGAAAGGGAGAGAGAGGGGGGCAGGAAGAGAGAGAATGAATGGGATGAGGGAGGGAGGAAGAGAGAGAGAGATTGAGAGAAAGAGAAAGGGAAGGCAGGAGAGAGGGCGGGAATGAGAGAGAAAGAGAAAAAGAGGGAAATGAGAGAGATAAAGAGAGAGGGAGGGAATGAGAGAGAAAAAGAAAAAGGGGGGAATGAGACAGATAAAGAGAAAGGGAGGGAATGAGAGAGAAAAAGAGAAAAGGAAGGAAAGAGAGAGAGAGAGAGAAAGGCAAGGAGAGAGAGGGGGAGGAAGGGAAAGACAGGAGAGAGAGGGAGGGAGGGAGAGAAAGAGAGAGGGAGAGGGAAAGGAAAGGAGAGGAGAGAGGGAGGAATAAAGGGGAGAGAAGGAGAGAGGGAGGGAGAAAGAGAGAGGAGGGAGTGGGAAAGAGAAAGGAAAGGAGAGGAGAGAGGGAGGAACAAATAAGAAAGAAGGAGAGAGGGAGGAAGAGGGAGAGGGGGGAGACAAAGAGGGAGAAGAAAGGAGAGAGGGGGGGGGGGGAGAGGTAGAAAGGTAGGGAGAGAGAAGGAGAAAGGGAGGGAATGAGAAGGAAGAAGAAAAAATGAGGGAATGAGAGAGCTAAAGAGAAAGGCAGGGGGTGAGAGAGAAGAAGAAAAAGCAAATGAATGGGACAGTAAAAGAGAAAGGGAGGGAATGAGATAGAAAAAGAGAAAAGGAAGGAGAGAGAGAGAGAAAGAGAAAGGGAAGGAGAGAGAGAGAGAAAGAGAAAGGGAAGGAGAGAGAGAGAAAGAGAAAGGGAAGGAGAGAGAGAGAAAGAGAAAGGGAAGGAAAGAGAGAGAGAGAGAGAGAAAGAGAGAGAGAGAAATGGAGAGAAGGGGGAGAAAAAAGTTAGAGAGAGAAAGACAGAGTGAGGAGGGAGGGGAACGAGAGAGACAGAGACAGACAGCAAAAAGAAGAGAGAGAGTGCCTAACTCTAGTTCACTATAAGCATTGTAGGTGCCTTGGTTTCTACAGATAGATAATCCTTTATCCATAGCAGAAGCTTGCCCTTAACTCCTAGAAGAGTTAATTCATGGAGGATTGCAGTAAGAGAGGGAGGGAAGAATTAGAGAGAGAGAATCTTTTGACATTTACCAGTATATTGAGAAGAGAGATTTTAGTTTTTAGTATTTCAAAGGCTATACAATGTGTTCTTTGTAAGTGTTTAATCCAGAAAAATATTTCTGGGAGAATGAGTCATTTTCCAATTGTTACATCTTGATGTGAAATATTTGGTTCATAGTTATTTATTAATTTAAATATTATAACTGATCACCTTAAATATTCAGTAAAGAGAACATGAGTAGATTTTTGTAAGCCCTTTCAGAAATCCATGTTATATATACACAAAGATATCTTTTAGAGTTATGTTTGTGTACTTTGCAGGCGCCCAGCAAAAGGACGGAAGTCGTCAATCACTTCATTAGGTGAAAAATCATGCAGGCATCTCTTCACCAAAAACATGATAGTTAGTGATATTTCAGGTAAGTGCTTAACAAATACAGTATTTGGAATATGAAGGTAAACAACATAGAAACTAGATTTCAGATATTTAAAGTTTTGAGTTGTTTTTATTGTGAAATGTAGTAGATAAATGATATTTGAATTATACTCAATAATAAGTTTAGGTTAAATGGAGTCTATTACTATAAAGTAAATAAACTGCCATGTGATTTTTTATATTGAACTCAAAGGATGAGGAAATCTCTCTCACTCACCCACTCACTCCATCTCTCTCTCTCTCTCTCTCTCTCTCTCTCTCTCTTAATCTATCTCTTTTCTCTACCTCTCTCCTGCTCCCCCCTCCCACTCTCATCCTTCCTTGATTCTCTCTCTCTCTCTCTCTCTCTCTCTCTCTCTCTCTCTCTCTCTCTCTCTCTCTCTCTCTCTCTCTCTCTCTCTCTCTCTCTCTCTCTCTCTCTCTCTCTCTCCCCCCCCCTTTTCTTCTACCTCTTTCCTCCTTTCTTTCTTGTTCCCCTCATGCCTCCCTCATTTCCCACAATTCCCCTTTCTTTTACTTTTTTGTAATTTTTGCCAGAGAAAATCCGAGATGAAGACTCCAAAAATGTTACTACAAAAGCTCATGAAGAAGAGCACGAGGAAGAAGGGTTGCATGTCAAAAAATTATTACGAGAAAGTGATTTGAATGCCCCAGTAGAAAAGGGTTATATATTGGAGCATGGTATGGACTGCTCACCAGAACGGCAGGCACAGTTGATAAAACACATGTCCCTAAACAGCCCATTAGGTGACAATATACCTACTGTAATCACACCCATTGGTTCCCCTCAAATGGGTCCCTGGTCGTCATCTGTATCAAGTTGCTCTGGGTGTTCCTCCTGTGTTTCGTCAGAATTGGAATCTCCGGTGCTACTTCAGGTCAAGGTTTGTGGTCTAAAACATAGTTATGTTTATATTTGATATGTGAGTTATGTAATGTCAAAGATAATGGCCAATCCTGTTTTTGTTTTGTTTAAATCTATTCTTTATTGTAATATGATAATACTGATCTCAAAATGAACTTGTAATCTGACAAGTAGTTACAGCAGAAATTACCCTTTTAGTGGGGGGGGAGGGAATGATAATAATATATATATATATATATATATATATATATATATATATATATATATATATATATATATATATATATATAATTGTAATGATAATAATAATAATGCAGGAAACCTTGATAACATCACAGCATGCAATTGGCCGATGTTACAGAATTAGCATATATTTCCTTAGAGCTATTTATTTCTTAAATGAACTCTTTGCTAGATGATGACAGATCTAGACGAGGTTAATGGGCTATAGAGAAATTTGAGCCAGAAAAGTTAGATAAACAAACAGTATTGGGAAAATAATGATGGCTTTGGTTCCAGCCAGGCACACAAAGGGTAAATAGAGGTATTTGATGAATAAAGAAAGACAGTTGAGAATAGACAATATGGAAGTAAATATGAGGGAGTGAAAAAGTAACTTACTGAGAAACATTAATATAGAATGAGAAAAAAAGGTAGATCTGGTTACATGTACTGTTCACTGTAGTTCTGTGTCTTTTGTTGCACACAAATAGCTCCACAAGTATTCAATCAGTTAGTTAGCCCTATGGTTATGTTTTTTGCTAGTACCAATAAAACTGATATGCTGTTAATGTTAGTGTTATGAATGAAGAAAGAATTTTTTTCCAAAAATTTTTAAAAATGTGTGAACAGGTGAGATATATAGAACTAATAATTGACTCCATGGTGACTAAACACTGGGGGAGCCATTTCTGTATAAATGCAATTAATAAAGTAAAATCATATTGGACATGGCTTGTGTGTCATGCCATCTGCAGCCAGTGGTCAGGAGAGGAGTTAGGGGTGGGCTGAAGGAGATGATATACCTTTGTGACATTATCAAGGTTCCCAGAGCCTTCCCAAAATTCAAATTTGTTTTGTGGCAGCAACATTTTAAAGGTGGATCTCGTCAAAAGAACTTACCACAGTAAATTCATTTGTAGTTTAAATTAGTCATATGGTACCAGACAGAAGTGTCTCTCAGTTCTGGCCATTACCTTCAAGAGTCGTCTTGTTTATGGTGATTTTTTCAGGATTTTGTGTTTTTGCTTTTTATGTTCACAAAAGAGATTTAACCTTGTAGTTTAATGCAGATTTTTTGTTTTGTTTTTTAATCTTTCAGGCAGCCAGTCAGACCATAGAGTCCAGTGGAGAAGATTTTGATGTGGACTTGCCACTGACACAAGAGGCATTATGTAATATGCCATATACCAGCTCTCCTGTCAGAGAGTCAAGTGATGAGACAGAAGTAAAAAAACACCAGCAGGAAGAGGAAACACAAACTAAAGAGAAAAAGGACGTAAAAAGTTTTGTTGAGACAAATAGCCCAAAGGCAGAGAGCAGT